TTACCATGGTCATGTAACTCACATGGAGTGATTGGGTGGGACTATGCAAATAAGATGCTTGTGGCCCACCAAGGGGATTGTTAATAACAATAATTTACTACAATAAGCACTGGACTGCGAATCATAAGGTTGATAGTTTGAGTCCATCAGCCACTCTCAATGAAAAAGATGAGGCTTTCTGCTCCTACAAAGATGTATAGCCTCAGAAACCCTATACAGGGTAGCTATGAGTTGGAACCAACTTGACAGTGCTTAACTACAATAATGCAAATAAAAGTTGCTGCTGTTGTTAAATGCCGTCGGAATTGGTTCTGACCCATAGCAACCCTGTATAGGGTTCCCAAGGAGCGATTGGTGAATTTGAACCACCGACCTTGTGGTTCAGACTGGCCGGGCGTGCAGTCCTGCGCATATATTTGCATATCTAAGAGTCCTGGCGTGGTGCTGTGAGTTAATGCGCCAGACTGCAAAGTGATTTGAACTACAAGGTCGGTGGTTCAAGCTCACCAGTCGCTCCTTGGAAACCCTATACAGGATCGCTATGGGTCGGAACCAACTCGACGGCACTTAACAACAACAAATGCAAATAAGGTGATTGGTCAGTTTTGCCATCTTGCTAGGCTTAAAATGAGGGGTAAAGAAGGAACTTCATGACTACCAACAAAGAAGAGCTAGGAATGGAGTGTAGCCTGTAGACCTGGGATTCCTGCCCTGAAATCCTCCAGGAGTCAGACAGAGTTTAAACGCTTGAGACAGGGAGAAACAGTGACAGAGAAAAGCCAGCAACAGAGGCAGCAGAATCAGGAGATAGCACAGTGGCTTCCAGCTCCTCACATGGAGAAAGCGAAGTGTCTTGGGGTAGGAGACTTAAAGGACACTTATCAGTAGAGAGAAAGAACTTTTTAACACTTGCCCAAGTAGGGCAAAAGCCCAAGGAACTGAGGACAGAAAGACCGAGGGCCAGGAAGAGGCAGGCCCACATTGTCTGTTACTTAATAAATAGAGGTTTCTACTTATTTAAAGAAGTAGGCATTTATAAACATAATTTGAAACTGTTTCAAACTACTTACTGCTTTTCACTACTGCTAACCTTTTCTTCATTTTTTTCTTCACACAACACAGACTGCAATGTTTCTTTATTGTGAGGTCATGCTCCTAAATTAGTCTAGAAGGAATTTGAGATGAGATGTGTAAGATCCAAAGAGAGTTTTATGGATCAGAATGTGAGTCATGGAGATTAGACTCCAACACACATCTACCACTGTGTTCATTTTCCAGTTCTAAATTCAAATTTGTATTTTGAAAAATACACGACTTGCCTGCTTCCCAGTCTTTTACACAAGTGTGGGTTTGGAAGGATACACCAGAGTAAAGAAGGCATGTGGGAAGAAAGGCACATTGTGAAGCCGTGAGCAGCTTTATGTTTATGTAATCTTTGTCACACAGTAGCTGTGGAAGCTGAGAATATAAGGCCTCTTGACAGGAAATGAGAGGCTCTAATAGAACTTTTCTACATAATCTTCCAGTGTCATTGTTTTAAATGGGTCTAGGGAAAAATGATCTTTCAACTTTTACATTCCAAAAAACCTCCACCTAGATTGGTCCTTTGGGGAACAGGCATTAGGTTGTTCATTTTCCCAATTTTCTAAGGAATCTTGTGTAAGTGAACCTTAGCTAAGCCTAAAGGATTGATAGCAATGAGGACTGGGATTGCTTCCGTGACCGTTCCCGTCACTTGGTATAATCAGCGCTCTCACCTTCATTAGCATTGGTATTAACATAACTTGTTGTTAGGTGCTGTGGAGTCGGTCCCAACTCACAGCAAGCCTGTATAGGGTTTCCAAAGAGCAGCTGGTCGGTTTGAACAGCCGACCTTGCCGTTCAAACTGACCTTGAAGTTGAGTGCTTATCCTGAGGCGCCACACCATGGATCCTAACAAAACTGGGGGTTTCCTATGGCTAAGCTGGGCAGCAGCTTTATAAATGTTATTTCACTTGTTTGAATAATCTTCAAACTCCCTCATAAAATCCTGAGAGGAAGAATGTAAAATTATGTCATTTTACACAGGAGTTAACAACTCCTGATTGCACCCTTGTGAGTGTCAGAGCTGAGTTTCCACTCAAAGTTTTCATAAATGTTTCGCTTGTATTCCTTATTAATGAGTTGGGCAGCTAACCAAAAGGTCAGCAGTTGGAATCCACCAGCTGCTCCTTTGGAGAAAGATGAGGCTTTTTGCTCCTGTAAAGATTTACCACCTCAGAAAACCTGTACAGGGTCACTATGGGTCAGAACTGACCTGATAGCACAGTACCACCACCACAGATGACCCAAAGCTTTTTCCTTTACACTGCCTGCTATTTGCAAGACCTTCTGTTTGGGTGGGTTTATCTTTTGGACTCACAAAGATTTCTGATTTCTATATGCCTATAACTATGTCTGGACTTCTGGTGTGGCGCTGTGGGCTAATGTGTCAGACTGCACAGTCATATGAACTGCAAGGTTGGTGGTTCAAGCTCACCAGCTGCTCCTTGGAAACCCTATACAGGGTCGCTATGGATCACAATAGACTTGGCAGCACTTAACAACAGCAACAACAATAACTGTCTAAAGAACCCCACTGGCACAACAGTTAAGTGCTTGGCTACTAAGCAACAAACTGGATGTTCAACTCCACCAGCCGCTCCGTGGGAGAAAAGACCTGGCAATCTGCTTCTATAAAGAAGCTTGTATGGTGAGTCTACTCAGTCCTATGGGGTTTCACTGAGTTGGCATCGATGCCATTGCATACAACATCAGAGCTATGTCTGCCATGCTGTTGGAAGATGGCTGCAGTATGTCCTTCAAGTTCTTTTGCTACCTTCCCTCTTTGAGATTATTTGCCTTTAGCTCCTAATATTTGTCTATTGCTGCCATGCATCTGTGGTCATGGATAATTATAGCTTCATGATGGGTTCTAGTCCTGGTGTGGCGCCACAGGATAAGAACTAGACTATACAAGGTCAGTTTGAACTACACGGTCAATGGTTCAAATTCATCAACCACTCCTCGGAAATCCTATATGGGGTTACTATGCACCAGAACCAACTGGACGGCACTTAACAACAAGTCCTGGTATGGCACTGCAGGATAATGCACTGGACCGCAAGGTCGGTGGTTCAAAACCATCAGCTGCTCCTTGGAAACCCTATACAGGGTCACTATGAGTTGGAACTGACTAGATGGCACTAACAACCACCACAACAGTCCTGGCTTGCTCAGGATCCTCTGCCCCTCATGCTAACTCTTTGGGCTTGGAATTGCTCAAGAGTAATAGATGTGGTATGGTAGGCCAAATAATGACCCGTCAAAATGTCTACATCCTAATCCCCACAATCTGTAAATCTATCACTTCCACATGAATATATTACTTACAAAGGAACTTTGTAGATGTGACTAAATTAAGGATCTTGAGATAAAGAGATTATTCTGGATTATCTAGTGGACCCAATGTAATCATATTGCTAAATGCCATCGAGTCAGTACGGATTCATAGCTACCCTGTATACAACAGAATGAAACACTGCCTGGTCCTGCACCAACCTCACAACCATTGCTTTGTTTGAGCCCACTGCTGCTGCCACTGTGCCAATCCATCTAGTTGGGGGGTCTCCCTCTTTTACTCCACCCCTCCACCTTACCAAACATGATATCCTTCTCCAGAGATTGGTCCCTCCTGACAATATGTCAGAAGTATGAAAGACAATGTCTAGCCGTCCTGGCTTCTAAGGAGCATTCTGGCTGTACTTCTTCCAACATAGATTTGTTTGTTCTTTTGATACTTTTTTAGTACTTTTAATAGTCTCCTGACGGAAGGAAGTAGAAGACAGAGGAGAGAAGAAGACCTGATGACGGAGAGAGATTGGAGTGATACAATTGCTGACTGGGATCTACAAGCCAAGGAATACCAACAGCCTCTAGAAGTTGGAAAAAGTAAAGAAACAATTATCCCTTCATTCCTCCACAAGCAATGAAGCCTTAAAATAATAATAATTTTAAAAAAGCAACACCTAACTTTAGCCTCGTGAGTCCACTTTTGGATCCAGAAGAGTAAGGTAGTAAATCTGTACTCTTTTAAGCCACTTCTTGTTGTTGTTAACTTCCAATGAGTCAGTTCTGACTCAGAGACCCTGTATATGGTTTCCAGGGAGCAGCTGGTGGATTTGAACCACCAATCTGTGGCTAGCAGTCCAGTACTTGCCTTACAGTGCCACACAAGCCGCTATATTGGTTACAATAGAAAATGAATACACCTGCTGACACTGAAATTCCTCTATTAGTTGTTAAGTGCTGTTGAGTTGGTTCCAACTCATAGATAGCGACGATGTGTATGTTTTCCAAGGAGCAGCTAGTGAGCAGCTGGTGAGCTTGAACTGCGGACTTGCAGTTCAAATCGACCTTGCAGTCCAACGCATTCACCCGCGGCACCACATCAGGATTCCTCTACTAGACAGGGGCCAAAATTCAAACAGTAATGAGTGGTAATGCTGACCCTTTACCAGAGTAAAGGGACCCAAGTGATGGCAAATCTTAGTTATAACAACCAGGTGAAGACAGGGAGCTACTAATGGTCCTGAAGTTCTCAGATACATTGTCACATGGACCAGCAGAAAAGGCTCATAATCTTCAGGCGCTTCCTTCTTGTTCTCTTTGTAGCACTAAAGAACCTACAATTATTGTTGCAGCATCTACTGAGCAGTACTATGTGGCAGGTTCCAGAAATCCAAAAACGATGCCCCGGGGCTCGAGGCAGCGCTGCCAGGTTGCAGAGCCAGCTCTCGCGCCGCACCGCTAACCCGGACTGCAACGGCGCGCGCCGGGGTCAGAACGAGGACGCGGGAGGCCCGGCATCCCGGCGGCCGGGCGAGGCTGCGAAACGAAAGGACCGGCCAGGGAGCGGGGCGGTGCCGTGCCGACGTAGGAGGGGCGTGCCCACGTGACCGCCCCGCCCTCCGCCTTCTGGCCGCCGAGCGGCCGCTGCTTCTCTTTTGGATTGTGGCTCCCGGCGTGACTCGCACTCGCAGCTGTCTACGCCCCTCCTCCTCCAGCTCCTCCCTAGTGCCACAGAGCCCGAGCCCAAGCAGCCACCGCAGCCACAGCCGCGGGCACTATGGTAAGCGGGTGCACGGGTCTGGGAGCCGAGCAGCGGCAAGCAAAGCCCCCCGCGCGTCCCCGCAAGGCTCGGGGAGCGAGGCCGCCATTTTAGCCTGATTTTGGCCTGCGAGGTGGGCGCTCCTGCGCTGCAACCCGGCTTGCTCCGGCTGGCCAGAATGCCCACCAGCCGTCAGGCCCAGGCCCGCTGCTCTTCGGATTCCTGGGGGCTGGAGGACTTGGGCGCGGGCGGGCGGGCGGGGTCGGGGCCTGGAGCTTGAGGACCGCGGAGACCGGGGTCGCGGAGCGCTGCCCAGCGATCGCAGCATTTGCCCTTAGGTTCCTAATTATAACAGGCGCGCCATAAAATTGAGAACGTGCTCTAAAGCCCCTGCTGAAAGGTGTTGGTCCGGGTTGTGATGGTCCGTAATACATCTTTTTCGGAGAGATTTAAGGAGCTGGGGAAATTCTTTTAACATGCTTTCTTGGAGGGGCGGGGGTAGGGGAGAAGCTTTTACACGCGACCTGTCAGGTCTGAAGTGCCTGGGTTTGAGCTGTAGGCAATTACGTTGTAGCCGTGGGCGGTCTGGAGTTTACACTTGATTCTCTTTCCTTATGAGGAAACGGTGCTAGCTAGAATGACTTTAAAGAAAAAAATCCTAGACGCATTAACTGAAATCCAAAAGTGTTTTTTTAAGGCCAGCAGAGTTGACACAATACAGAAGGTATTTTTGCTGCTCCTCCTGAAGCTCTGACATCACACAGTGAAATAGGAAACATTTCAGGGATGGGACAGCTTGTATTTTGTGCCATTCACTCTACCTTCCATTTCCAAACCCCTTTGAAAAGAATGAATGGAGCAGGATGACTTTGAATCCTTAGGTAGCTAATTTACTGATACTTAAAATGTAAATCTGATTGGACTGCTTGAATGGTTGATGGGATTTTTTTTTATGCCCAAACTAAAGAGAACTTCTAGACAAACAGTAATTTTGGGTAAAACGAAAATACTTGTTCTGAATTACTACTCTTTGTTATTTTCAGGCTTCTGGAGTTACAGTGAATGATGAAGTCATCAAAGTTTTTAATGATATGAAAGTAAGGAAATCTTCTACACAAGAGGAGATCAAAAAAAGAAAGAAAGCAGTCCTCTTCTGTTTAAGCGATGACAAAAGACAAATAATTGTAGAGGAAGCAAAGCAGATCTTGGTGGGTGACATTGGTGATACTGTAGAGGACCCGTACACATCTTTTGTGAAGTTGCTACCTCTGAATGATTGCCGATATGCTTTGTACGATGCCACATACGAAACAAAAGAGTCTAAGAAAGAAGACCTAGTATTTATATTCTGGTGTGTAAAAACAAAAGAAAAAAAGAACTTTTACAATGCAAGGATTACTATTGACTTAGTCAGTTTTGCCTTTGTTTTTCTTGTAATTGGGACTCAACATTTTTGTTTTTCCTCTAGGGCTCCTGAAAGTGCACCTTTAAAAAGCAAGATGATATATGCTAGCTCTAAAGATGCCATTAAAAAGAAGTTTACAGGTATAAGCATTGAATCTTTTGTGCTGAGAAATGATCTTTTTTATTTAAAAGAAGGTAATGGGATAATTTGTTTCTTCTTTTTTTTTTTTTTTAAAGGTATCAAACATGAGTGGCAAGTAAATGGCTTGGATGATATTAAGGACCGCTCCACACTCGGAGAGAAATTGGGAGGCAATGTAGTAGTTTCACTTGAAGGAAAACCCTTATAAAATGACAGCCAAGTGCCATCTAGATCTTAAGGAGTTTCCATTTCTCCAACTCAGTCAATTGGAATAGTTTTAGGATTCTTTTTTTTCCCCTCCCTTCCCCACTGGGCCCTTTGAACACATGAATGAAGGAGATAGCATTCATTAAGCAACCTGTCAGTGATTGCCATTAGATTGTTAATACTGTTAGTTTTAAGTAGAACCCAAGGAATGCCTTTCTGTCATACTTCAGCCAAAACAACTGGTTCTATACCTCCCCTGCAGCCAGCACTACAAAGAATGTGATTGTCAATGTGAATAGCTTAGAATACTGCAAAGAGTAAGCTAATTGAATGCCTTGAAAGTATTATCTACTGGTCAGACAGTAAACCTTATTCAGTATTATTTATGGTTGCACTTGGTTGCAATTCTGTGAGACTTAAGCATTCATACACCTCACCTGCCTTGGCAAGCCTATTTTTGCGGATTGGCAGCACAGATACAACACTATGCATTGAAAGCACTTTTTTTGTAATGAGTTTAACCCACCATACCCAAAAAGGAATGCCAATTAAGTTGCATAAACTGTGTCATCAGCATATCCTAGTACCTCAGTGTTCATTCTTGTTAACCTGCATACCTTCGTGAGAGAAATAACTGTTATTAATGCCTTTTTGTTTTTCATAGAGTGTACACTACTGAATACATGTAGGAGTTTTATGTTTACCATGTGAGTCTTGCAACACTAAAGATATTTTGAATACCAGTCATGATGGCAATTTCTGTATAAAAGAGCCTTAAACGGAACATTGTTTTTGAAATCAATCCCCCCACCCTCACAAAAATCGCCACGTTGCAATAAAAATTGTGGCATATTATAGAACGTTGCCTTGTTTTCCTTGGAATTTTAAAAGTTATGTAAAACATCTAAGGTAAAGAGCTATTAATTTCTGCACTGGTCATTTGAGAACTTTTTTGTACAATATTCATGCATGATATTTTCTAAATTGGTTTGATTTATTTGTTTTAAAAATATTCATCCTAAAGCCAAGTAATTTAAAAATATTATAGAGCATTACTTTTATACAGTTTATTTCCTTATGTTTTAATACAGAGATCAGAGATTTTTTTGCATTTTGACATGAGTACTTTTCAATATCTGGTTTACTAGGGTAGTGTTTTGTTTTTTTTTTGATTATTCATAATTTACATTTCTAAGTAGTTGAGTAGTAGAAACAGGAAGCTTATAATGTTTATTTGGTGATAATAGAAATAATTTGAAAAATGTCCTTCAAAAGATTAATAATACTTGTGAGGTTTAAGAACTATTCATTTCTACTACTATCCCTTAATATGTTTTGCACATTGAATTGGGAAAAAAGAATCAATGGGTATATAGTAGTCTTGAACATTTAGAGTGAGATTTGGCTGTAGTCCAAAGACTGCTCTCCTTATAGAGAATTTGATCTGTTCAGTGTGAGCAGTTTGCTGTTAGCCAGAGCTATTTATGGCAAACACATGCTTTTGTATCTTGTCATAGTTATCCACAAATGGCATAACTGGATTTGATTCTACTGGTGTGCAAAACAGACATGCTAGTAAGCAGTCAGTCATGGCTCAGAATTTAACCCCATAGCTCTAAAGAAGGTTTTATTTGAAGACAGAAAATGAAAATAACCTTTAAAAAAAAAAACTAAAAAAAACCACCTTTTTAATGTGTGGAAGTAAATTTGAATATAATTAGTTTTTTTTCATTGCGTTATGTTTCAGATGAAAGAGGTTAAGTGTCTTAAGCTTTCGTTTTAATTTATATGAATGACTTGGGGTCTTTTGCACTGAGCAGTTTTATTTCAAGCTTTCAGCTGTCCCTGTAAGTTGTCCTGGATGTTTTGATCGCTTTTTTGGTAAAGCCAAACTCTACTAAGCAAAGCGTGAGAACGCTGTCATATACAACGCTATCTGTGTATCTGATAACTTGCACCGTAGAAGTTCTCATTGAGGTATTTACTCATTTTTCTTAAAAAAAAAAAAAAAAAAGTAAATAAGGGACTATAAATTAGCTAGGTATAGTATATTCTGTTTTTATAACTTTTTCTCAATTTACAAATACACCTTTTTAACTGTATGATAATTTCTGGGATTATACATGGCTTTATACTGTAATACTTTGATTGACAAATTAAAACTGACATTTAATTGATAAGTTAAATTCATCTTTGAAATAATTCTTTGTGCATAGGCCAAAATAATGCTACAGATTAATGTTATTTAAGCCTGGTTTGGCATTTGAAATTCATTTTATTTTATAATCATATATAATGAAACAATGTTCCAGTTAGCTTTAAAAGGTATACGGTGCTAATTAATAAAATATGGAGGACAATATTTTACTGCTAGCTTGCAAAATTTTAAGTGTTTAAAAAATAAAATATATGAAAAATATATAAAACGGTTGACATGTGTTTACTTAAGCTTTGGAGCATTTAGACATTTTTAAAATAGTATTTCAAATGAAGGAAACATATTTAGTCTGTTTTTGAGGATATTAGTTGATATATTTTCTTATTTAGTGATAACAATTAACTTTGAAAACTTAGTGTTGTTGCAATTAATTTTAGCATTTTCAGACAAATGGGAACTTTGGCATTTGTCCCAAACTGGCTATCAGCTGTTATGTTCCGTCATTATCTAAAATAGTACAGCCAGCATTGTGTGTTTAATGTACATTTTCAGTAGATTGGAAGAAAACGGTCTTATTAGAGTTGAGATTCTCAGATACAGATTCTTTATAGCAACTAATTTATGGAATCTGACAGATGAACCTTGAATGAAAATTATTTTAAAAGTGTTTCCTTATTAAAACTAATCCCAGTAGTGGTAAGACAGAGACCAGTTGGGAACTGGGAACACTTTTCACAGTGTTTGCCACTCTGAAAATACAATAATTTTTGCTTGTACATTTAATAATTTGAGATGCAAAACAACATGAATATTCATTTTCTATAAAGAGGAAAGTGACTAAAGGTGTGCTGGTAGGTTCTAATGATTATTGCTTTTAAGACAGTATGAGTTTAATAGATGCTTTGTGTCTCATTTTGGCCAGTGAAGTCTGAGGCTTCTGCTTTGCTTTACAATACCCAGGTAATTGCTTTCTTTTTATGTAGACTCAGCAGTCATCTCTCCATCTTAATTTCCTGTTATGAAGTAATTGAACAAGTTAATATCCCTGAGGCTCAGTTTTTTAATCCATAATATGGGAACGCTAATACTTACCTTCCTGCCACGTTGTTAAGGATCAAATATGAAGTGCTTTTGTTGTTAGGTGCCATCGAATCTGTATAGACAGAACAAAACACTGCCTGATCGGTGCCAACCTCACAACCATTGCTATGTTTGAGCGATGGGCCAGCCCATCTCTTTGGGGGTCTTCCTTCTTTTTTCTGACCCTCCACTTTATCAAGCATGATACCCTTCTCCACATACTGGTCCCTCCTGATAATATGTCCGAAGTATGTGAGACGAAGACTCCCTATCCTGGCTTCCAAGGACCAATCTGGCTGTACTTCTTCCAACACAGATTGTTTTATTCTTTGGCAGTCCAAAGACTGCCAACACCATAACTTAAATGCATCAATTCTTGGATGGTCTTCCTTATTCAGTGTCCAACTTTCACATGCATTTGAGGTTATTGAATATACCAAGGCTTGGGTCAGGTGCATCCTAGTCCTCAAACTGACATCTTTGCTCTTCAACACTTTAAAGAGGTCTTGTGCAGGAGATTTGCCTAATGCAGTACATGGTTTGATTTCTTGATTATTGCTGCCATGAGTGTTAATGGTTGATCAAAGCAAAATGAAGTCATTGACAACTTCAGTCTTCTCCATTTATATGAATGTTTATTGGTTCAGTGGTGAGGATTTTTGCTTTTTTTTACATTGAGGTGCAACCCATACTGAAGGCTGTGGTCTTTGATATTCATCAGTAAATATTTTAAGTCCGCCTGGCTTTCAGGAAGCAAGGTTGTAATATCTGCATACCGTAGGCTGTCAATGAGTCTTCCTCCAATCCAGATGCCACATTTTTCTTAATATAATCCATTTTCCAAAATTAATTTGCTCAGCATACAGATTAAGTGTGGTTAAAGAATACAACCCTGGCACACACCTTTCCTAATTTTAAACTACTCTGTGTTCCCTTGTTCTGTTAAAACAACTGCCTCTTGGTCTATGTACAGGTTCCTCATGAGCACAATTAAGTGTTCTGGAATACTCATTCTCCACAATGATGTCCATATCCTGTCATGATTCATACAGTCGAAAACCTTATGTAGTCAGTAAAGTACAGGCAAACATCTTTCTGGTATTCTCTGCTTTCATGCACGATCCATTTGATGTCAGCAGTGCTATTCCTCGTTCCATTGTCCTCTTCTGAATTGGCTTGAATTCCTCAAAGTTCTCTGTCAGTGTATAGTTGCAGCCATTTTTGTATTACCTTTAGCAAAATTTTACTTGCATGCGATATTAATGATGCTGTCAGATGATTTCCACATTCTGTTGGGTCACTTCTCTGGAATGGGCACAAATATGGATCTCTTCCACTCAGTTGGCCAGATAGTTGTCTTCCAAATTACTTGGCGTAGATAAATGAGTACCTCAAGTGCCATATCAGTTTGTTGAAAGATTTCAATATGTATTCCATCGGTTCATAAAGTCTTGTTCTTTGCCAATGACTTCAGTGCACCTTGGACTTTTTCCTTCAGTATCATTGGCTCTTGATCATATGCTACCTCTTTGGTACAATGACTTGTGTATTCCTTTCATCTTCTTTTGATGCTTTCTGCATTATTAAATATTTTGCCCATAGGATCCTTCAATACTGCAAGTCCAAGGTTTGAAGTTTTTCTTCAGTTCTTTTAGCTTGGGAAATTCTGAGTGTATTCTTCCTTTTGGTTTTCTAACTCCAGGTCTTTGCACAATTTGTTATAATGTTCGACCTTGTCGTCTTGAGCTGCTCTTTGAAAATTCGATTCTTTTTTACCTTCTCATTTATTCCATTTGCTTTAGTGTCTCTACGCTGAGAGAACAACTTTCAGAGTCTTTTCTGCTTTTAGAATGCAGAAAAATGTTGAGTAATTTGTTTAAACCACTGATTCTGAGTAAGTATTGAAGTGTATTAAAAATATGATGTAAGTCATTGAACCTTTGTTTTTGTAATTATTCTACTTAATTTCATAGTTTATTTTAAAGACTAATTGACTGATGTATAATTAGTCTGCTTTCCAGAATGAAGTACAAAACATATTAAGTATGTAGCCTCAGTTGATGTTTGTGACTGCTTTTAATCTTAATAACAGTAATTTTCTTTTTATGTCAAATACTAGCTTTTTTCCTCAACATTTGAAGCAAAAAAGAAGAAATAAAGTTGGGAAAATAAATATCGCTTTAGAGTATTTAAGGGAACTTTATTTTTTTGTTCTAATTAATATATATTTTGTTGTTGTTAATTGCCATCGAGTCAGTTCCGAGTCATAGCAACCCTGTATAGGGTTTCCAAGGAACAGCTAATGTGTTTGAACTGCCGACTTTACAATTCAAGATGACCTTGAGGTCAAGTGCTTATGGCGACTAGGACTCCAAATATACATATATATAATATTTGCCAGTTCAACTTTTCATGTATATGATTTAGTGATCTCAGTTAGAGTAATCATTTTGTGCAACTTTCACCAACAATCATTGCCAAATTTCCTGTTACCATAACCAGTAATTCAGTGTTTTCTAATTAGTTGGCTCTCCCATTTACCCTCCCTTACTTTCCTGGTAACCACTAATAAACTTTGGTCTCACTATATTTGCCTAGTCTAGATATCTCAAATATG